GCCACCGACGCTGGCCACCTGCTCAAGGCTGAGTGAGTGGAGGACGGTACTGTCTCGGAGATCAAGAGATCCGCCAATGAAGGTCAGTTGACGGAAGTCAACGTGCGTCAGCGCGCCAAATCCAGCCACGCGGACGCTCCCACCAATGCGCTCGACGACGCCAAAATCAACCATAGCCAACATGGGCAGCAAGGACGATGACTGTACAGCCACACCGGCAAAGGAGGAGGAGGAGGAGGAGGAGGAGGAGGAGGAGGAGGAGGGTGAAGGTGGTGTGGTGTCGATGATAAAGTCACCGGCGATGTACGTGAGGTGGGAGCCGAGGCTCAGGGACGTGGGGCTCGTAGCGTTGGCGACGACGTGCACCGAGCCGTTGACACGGGCCAAGGTGAAGAAGGCGTCGCAGCAGCAGTTCTCCACACGCTGCACCTCGCACACGGGCCCTGAGTTGACGGCCGCATACTCCACTAGGGTGGTTGACTCTGTGTCCAGGCAATCGAGTGTGAGCGGCAGGATCGTCTCGCACGTCGCTGCTGCCGCGCTGCTGGGGCCATTTCCACCACCACCGCCGCCGGCTGACGTTGCCGCAACGGCTGCAACGATGATGATGACCAAGGCGAAGACTGAGACGCCTGCGATGATTCTGAGACGGCGCTTGCCGCACGAGCCAAGTCCGCACAGCACGCACAGCGCGGAGCACCAGGCGAGGACCGGGTTCTCAGTGAGAGAGCCCTTTCCATCGCCACGCGCTGCCCTTGCGGCCTTTCTTGGGCGTCCCTGCTGCTGTCGCTGTGCATGCTCGTCATGTGCACCGCTGGTGCCGTCGCCGCTGAGCTCCATCTCAAAGGTACGCAGCTGCTCGGTCGTCGGCAGACCAAACTCGTCGTCCTCCGAGATGTGGTCGTACTCGGGCTTGAGGTGCTCGTAGTCGGGGTTGGCCATGATTTGCCCATAGCAGTTTGGGATGGACGAGGATGGCCGCGTGCTCACAGGCTCAAGGTAGTCCTGGCCCTTGCTGTTGCCGGGCGGCGCTTGCTCCTGTGGGCCTGGCTGCTGCTGTTGCCTCTCTTGATCGCGCGCTCCTGTTGAGGCGTTTGCGTCGCCGTACACCTTGAATGAGCTTGGATCGATGGCCGTTTGCCCGGCTGGCGGAACATGCACATAGAGCGGTCGCGTCGGTACTCCGCCCGGGTTCGTGGGATCGCCGTACAGTCGAATGGGCTGATCAGCACGTCCCTGACCGACGGCGGCGGGCAGGCCTCGCATCCCCGCTGCACCACGCGAAGGCATTCCACTGGGGTGGCTGCCGTGGTTGCTGCCAGCCTCACCGGAGTGAGCATTGGACAATGTGGCTTCGTAGTTGGACTGCGGCGAAGAATGGTGGCTGGGCTGCAGGGACTGCACATGTCCGGGTTTCAAGGGTGGTGTGCTTCCCTTGGGGGTTGTCTTCTCATACACGTGCGGCAGCACCACGGCATTCCCCAGCTGAAGGTGTGCAGGGGATGGAGAGGGTTGGGAGAGCAAAGGAGGGCAAAGGAGAGGAGGTGTGAGGCAGTTGTGCGAGAGCGCCTCGTGTGTTGTGTTGTGTTGTGTTGTGTTGTGTTGTGTTGTGTTGTGTTGTGTTTGTGTCGTGTTGTGTTGTGTTGTGTTGTGTTGTGGCAGTGTGTTGGAAAATCGCCGGCACGTACCGGGAGGGGAAGCGAGTGAGGGTTGGTCTTGAGATGGGAGATGATGGCTTGAAGCGTGGTGCACTCCTTTGGCAAGAGCTCGTTGTTCAGGGAAAAAGAGTGACTGTCGTGTTTCGTGAGCGTATGCTCCTCGACAACGCCCTCCCGTGCGAGCTGTGCAGGGAAACAGGGTGTAGGAGGAGGAAGGGGAAATAGGGCAGGCGACAAGAGTGGTCACGAAAGGAAAAGGAGAGAGAGATGGTATGAAGAAGGGTGAGTATGCATGGACAAGTTCATCCACACACACACACACACACAAACACACACACACACACGCACCAGGGCTATGATGATGGTGTTTGGTACAGGGCCATCCCGCAGAATAAATGTGCCAGGTGGGTGCTGCCCGTTCGACAGTGCTTTCTGCGCTTCAGCTTGCTGAATTGGGAAGGAGCGCGCAACTTCAACTGCGAGATTGACAGCCATGCCAGGCTGATCGACAATGTTTCCATCTTCGTACAGCTTGTCCGTGTTTGTGTCCGTGCTTGCAGGGATCGAGCCTTCAACTGTTGGCACCAAATTGATGGATCGAGCCTGCCTAGAGAAGGAGACGCTCTGGTGTGGAGAACATGTATTTGCGTGTGTGGTGGGAGCGGGGGAACGCAAGGTGAGCGCCCACAGCACCAGACACACAAGTGCACGCACCCTGCGCGCACACGCACACCCGCACACACGCACACACACACACACACACACACACACACACACACGCACGCACACGCACACGCACACACACACACACACGCACACACACACGCACACGCACACGCACACGCACACGCACACGCACACGCACACGCACGCACACACACGCACGCACACACACACACACACACGCACACACACGCACACACACGCACAAGCACACGCACACGCACACGCACCATTAGTTTGTCAGAGATGCATGCCAGGACGGGAGCGGGAACACTGATGGTCGTGTCCGTTGTTGTGTCCAGGTGCCAGTCAACTTTGGTGGCGTGAGCACTGTGCAGCAAGCGCTCCTGCACCGACGGCGAATTAAACGCAGACTGGCACATGTCGATGACCACAAGTGGCTTCTGGTGCTGCAACACGAACGCAAGGTCGCTCGCCGTCGGGTTGCGCTTCTGCTGCTTGCTCGAAGCCTTACTGTTCTTGTCCGGACAACCAGTGTCGCCGTATTGTTGGCAGGCGGCGTCGCTTCCGCTGTCCTGGTCTTGATCATCATCAACGTTGTCATCACTGGGCGTGCTTGCAGGCACCTCTAATCCGTAGGATGGCGTCCCCAAGATGACCACAAGCTTGCATGCACGCAAAGCAGCTGCACGTGGCACGTCCGGGCCATGAGACGATGAGCTAGTGCTTGAACCCGCGGACGGGGTGGGCGTTGGTGTGAGATCGAGAAACGTGTCCAACGCACGGTCATCCAGGCTTGCCTTCAGGGTTTCACCGGCCGCGTCGGCTTCTCCCGGCACCGCCGAGATGAACACGTCACACGCCCTGCTCATGCAGGCGTTGTGGGCTCAGTGTGGAAGGAGGAGGGGTGTGTGCTCAATGGTCGATTGGTGGAAGCCGCGTGTTGTTGTGTTGTGTGGAGACAACAAGCACAAGGACAAAAAGCGAGAAAAGCAAAATGGGGTTGTTGTTGGTCTCGCTCATGTGAGCAAAAGGCGCGCAAAGGGGACAATTGGAGAAAGTTTTGCCCATACTTTCGGCGCTCATGCGCGGCAGTGTGTGTCAAGGACACGCACAAGAATCAATTGAATGCTTTGTTGCGAAGTGAAGTGAGGGTCTGAAGGTGTGATGCGACGCGCAAGCTGCAAAAGGGCATGTATTTTGATAGGAAAAGCATCACGTGTTTGGGGCGAGGGGGTGAAGCAAAGAAGCAACGCGTAGGGGCCCTCACGCAGTGCACTCGAACAACAGCAGATGTACGCAACAGGACTGACATGAGGAGAAACAAGAAACGCTTGAAATGATGCAAGGCAAGAGCGTGCAGAGCTCAACGCGACATTGCGACGGCACGCAACACTCAGGGCATCATGCAACATGAAGACAGGACGGCAAATGTAAGCTGAAAGGGAGTAATGGCAAACTGGAGATGAGACAGGACCGATAAAGGCGTGACGCTACTCAGAACTTGCCAGGGAGCACTTCGTTGCTTCTTGGATCAGCTTGATTGCCGACCCAATCTTGACACCGGCCTCTTTCAGCATGGCTTTCGTCAAATCGCCGTCATTCACGGCCTCCACCAGCACGTCCAGCTTATCGATGCCGTGTTCCACCAAGGCTGGTTCAACGTGCGGCAGCAGCGAGTGGCGCTTGAGCCATTCTGTCAGCTCGGGCTCAAATGGGGATGATGAAGAAGAAGCAGGGGTTGGATGCGGTGGTGCAGCGGAGGTTTCGGTTGAAGATGACTGCAACGCGAATGAGCAAGAAGGTTGATGAAAGAGGGTGTGATCGTCAAGTGGAGGAGGAGCAATCACGCCTGCATGCGTTTGCATCCCTGTACAGACATACACACACATATACACAACACACACACACACATACACACACGCATGTACACAACACTCACGCACACATAAACACAACACGCAACACTCATACACACACACACACAAACACACAAACACACATACACACACACACAAACACACACACACACACACAACGCACAGCTTGGTCCGAGGACTCTTGCTCATGAAGCTTGCTGCCAGCAAGAATCTCCTCAATGCTGGTGATGGCAGTGTGGCCACCGGCTTCAGCCAAATCGTACGGCGTCTCTCCCTGCAAACGTGAGCACGTGCAGTCAACACGTGCAGTAATGTAATCACCAGAAGGTGGGAGATAGCGGAAGGAAAGTTTGGCAGAAGTACAAAGGAGACGACAGCGTCGAGCAAGGAACCTAGGAACCAGTGCCCACATTATTATTGGGCTCAACACAAGGGGAGGGGTGAGCCTCACCTCGTCATTCTCGATCACAGCATTGGCGCCGTGTTCGAGGAGAAGGTTCGCAATGGCAAGTTGGCTGTATTTGCAAGCGATGTGGAGCAACGTGTCGCCCTGTGTAGATTGAATAGAAACGGACACGGAGCACGTATGGTGAGAACCCACGAGCACGAGCATGCGAGCAGTGGAACAACAAACCAGTCCCTTCATATTTCATGAACACACGTGCTCATCCTGTTCGTTGATGTCTGCATGGTCTTGGTTGATGAAGGAAGTGACAGCGGGAACATCGCCACCCCTGCAAGCCACAAACAGTTGCTTCAGCTGCTGCTGCTTCTCCTTGCGTGCTTTGATGAAGGCGGCCTTGCCCTCCTTGTCGTCAGACCTGCAAACACAGAATCACATACGGGATGGGACACGATCATCACAAACGCAACGCAGTCAGTGTGCGAGCGAGGGAGCCAAAGTGCACAGCATCAACATGGAATGAGAACATGCATTCACTGACCAGGTTGTGAGGATCACTCGGTGAACGGGCAGCGCGGCACCAAAAGCGCGGGCGGTTTCGGGGGAGAAGTTCTTCTGGATCCTGAACGGCATACAGCATGGTGGTATGTAGTCGAAGGGAGGAATGTGGTACATGCGTGACGAGTTGGTTTTTGTGGCTCTGCACGGACATGCAAGCCGGATGCACCATGTTGTGCTGTAGCATGCACTCAGCCATCGTGCTTGATCGCGTTGCCCGCAATGAGGGACGCGATCATGCATGAGGTGAACGTAGTGCAATCGGCGTACTCAAGCTGTTTCAGTGTGCGGTTGTGGCCCAGGGCAGCTCCCAGCGCCGCGCCTCCAACTGGGGTGATGGAGTTGCTGTCCAAGCTAAACATGACAAGGAATGCATGCGGGAAGGGAACGAGTGAGGGAGCAGGAAAGGGGCGGCAAATTGAAGGCGAGCAGCACATGTGAACACCACGAACGACGCCGCGTCGTGGCTAGGTCATGCACGGTGCAACCTTGCGCGCCTGCAATTCGGTGGTAGAGGCACATGCACAGGAAACAAACTGATTGCACAACATGTGACAGCACTCATGTTGCAGTGATGCGCACACTTCACACATAGCGGGCTGTGCCTTGAGCTGTCAACGATACTCGCAAGAACAAGCTCAATGGTATCCATCCCTGTCGAGTGGTTGGGGGGAGCAGGGTTTCGACTCACAACAGGCGTTCGAGACTCGTGTTGACCTTGAGCATCTCCGCCAACGCTATCGCGCCGACATCGCTGATTTGATTGCTCATCAGGCTGTGCATCCAAGCCAGAGGAGGAGTGGAGGTTGACGACAGTGAATACGATGGTCAGAAGTGATGAGCGGGTGTCAAGCAGAATGGGTGAAACGCAGAAACTGCATTCCGCATTCGCATACAATATGCATGTGCACACACACACATACACACACACACACGCACACACACACACACACATACACATTAACGCACACATTAACACACATATCAACACATCAACACACACACACATGCTCACGGCGAATACATTCAATACAGGTGTGCCCTCGCTCACTTGAACGATTTAAAGTTGGTGTTCTGCTTCAGCATTTCTGCAAGCGCCACAGCACCCTCATCACGAATGTGATTATAATGCAGCCTGCACAAACAAGAGGAATGTGAAGTGGAGGTTGATGACAGTGAATACGGTGGCCAGGAGCATTGGGAGGGTGTCAAGCACATTGAGTGAAACGCAGCTACTGCAGTCTGCATTCGCAAACAATATGCGTGCACACAGACACAGACAAAGACACACTCACACGCACGCACATAAGCACACACATGCTTACAGCGGGTACATTCAGAGATGTGAGCCCTCACTCACTTGAGCGATTTGAGGGTGGTGTTATGCTTGAGCATCTCTGCAAATGCAACAGCGCCCTCATCGCTGATGGAGTTCTGATGCAGCCTGCGCACGCAAGACAAAGGTGGAGTGGATATTGCCCACAGCGCATAGGATGGCCAGGAGCAATGAGAGGGTGTCAAGCACAGTGGGTGAGATACAGTAACTGCATTCTGCATTCACACATACAATGCACAAACGTACACACACACGCACACACACACACACACAATGCACAAACGCACACACACAATGCACAAACGTACACACACACACACACACACACACACACACACATGCACAAACGCACACACACACTGGTCGTTATGCGGTGCGTAAACCGTATTCGTCTTCGAAGATCTCAGACTGGCCCGAGATTTATAGCTTAAAGAAATTCGCCCGAGCAGCGAGCCCGAGTCTTCCCGACAATAGATTACGGCGAGAGTGGTTGCTATCTCTCGATTCACATCGCCGCATGTCACCCACCCGTGGGGGCATCGTTTCTGACGCTGCTTGGGTTATAACGTGTCGGAAACAGCTATTGAAGGCTTTGCAGTGTAAGCGTGAACCTCGGTCTTTCACGTCGTGCATGGGCGAGAAGCCAGAGCGCGCTATTAGGGGAATGGCTATGCGAGACATACCCATCACTGGGCCCGGGAGACGCGCCATCTAGTTCCCTAAACTGGCTCGTTGCTCCTCGGTAAGCCACGTACGCTCGTCTGTATTATACCCAGGCATAAAAGGATTTGAGGGTATGGCGAGGGGTATGTCCTTGCAGATCGGGACCTCTTCTTCGAAGATCTGACACACACAATAGCCAACGACACACACACACACACACACACACACACACACAATGCACAAACGCACACACACACACAACACACAAGCGCACACACCATCACACACACATACACCATCACGCACACACAACACACAGACAAAATGCACCACGTTTATAGTGAGTGGTTTCCATGCGTGTGTCCGCACTCACTCGAGTGACATCAAGGAGGTGTTGTGTTTCAGTCTCCTTGCCAGTGCCACAGCGCCCTCATCGTTGACGGAATTCAAATGCAGGCTGTGCACGCAGAAACGCAGGGAATATTGATGAGCACCTGAATGTGCGCGAGAAGAGACAAGAGGAAGGAGAAAGAAGGCGCAACATGTACACACCCACATCAACCATGCGTGTCGCACGACGTAGTCCACATCATCACGTACTTCAGTGTTCTGAGACAGGTGTTGTTCTTGAGCGCCCTGGCCACCGCGCACGCCCCACTTTCGCAAAGGCGAGCAAGAGAAAACCTGCAATTCCGAATTGTGTGGAACAACGAACAAGAGAATGAGGATAGGGCAAACACGAGACCGGTGCAAAGTCACAACCTGACACATATAGAAGCAGAGAAGCTCTTCGTGCGTCCCGGCAGTGCCACAAGCACACACGCACACATATACACCGAGTGTGACAACATTCACAGACGACATAAGGGCACATAGCGCAAAGAAGAGCACATGTCGAAGGTCCTTCACGTGATTATTCAATCTTCAGATGTGACAACGGGTTTCTGTTTGTACTCACCCCACCCAGCTCCCACACGTGTTATTGGCGATGGCCCTGATCTTCTCCTTGTCAGAACACGGCAAATCAGTCAGTTGCAGCAAGGCCTCCACCTCCAAACTTTTACAGCGAAACATGTTTGCTGCTTCCGAGGTGTTTGCTGGAGAAAGCAAGCTCTCCTCTGCTTCTCTGCCTCGCCGTGCGTGTATGCGTGGTGTGTGAGTACGCGTTGTGAGTGAGTGTTATGAGTGGGTATGGTGGTGAGCACACGCGCATGCGCCTGACTGAATTACACAGCTCACACCCCCTCCAATTAAAAGAAAAGCATGTGAAAACTTACACCATTGCTCTCCAGCCACGACTACTTGCCATATCTTCATCCACGAACCGGGACAAGTCGACTCAGAGGAACCTTCCTGATTGTGTTCAGCGAACGAACACACCATCCTTCAGGAAACAGAAACACGTCGATGAGGGAATGTGCTGTGGCGTTGCCTTTCCCCGGGTGGTCGTCGGCGGATGACTGCTGTCTTGTTGTTTGGCTGCACTGCAAGTGGCACCATGCGATGTGGCTGTTATCTTGAGCTGTGCTGTGTCTCTGGTTCTGCCTTCCTCTCTTGCTTGGATGTGCGTGTTGGTGCTGACTGTGTGCCCGTGTGTGAGGGCTGTTGTCGTCTCTTCATGTCTTGACTCTGCCCCCAATGTATTACTGTTGGAAACGATTGAACATGCAAGGCAGAATCACCACAACACGGCAACCAGCAACCAAACACACATCACTGACAAAGGAGAGTGGCAGAGCAAAGAGACAACAAGCAAGGAAGGAAGGAAAGAAGGAAGGAAGGAAATTCAGTATGCACGGCATACGTGTCAACAAACAGCCAACGCAGTGGCAACAACAACGACGCATCATCAAACACCGCATGGCGCACTGCAACGCTGCTCTGTCGATGGCCGGTCTGAAGGAAGAAAGACATGCACGCGTGTACCAGCCACGATGCGGTGGTTCCTCAGGTGGGAAGTGATTTGGTTGACAGCCGTCTCGTCATCGCCGTCATCGGTGTGCACACACGCCAATTGCACAGCCAACCACAAAGGAAGGGTGACTGCGTGCCATGCACCCCACACACATCCACCTCCTCCTTCACTGCCGTTGTCACGCATCGCAGCAGCTGCTGTTGTCAGCGGTGGCACCAACAACAGCCAGCACACGCATGCCCACCAGAATCACGATGGCCACCTCCTTGCTGTTGCTGGAACTCGTGAGGAATGCAAGCACCACCACCACCACCACCACCACCACCACATCAGCTGTCGCTGCTGTTGCCATGGTGTGCACTCCCACCACAACCATCAACGCTGCTGGCATCTCTTCCAACAACGCCGTGGTGGTCCAAGAGCCAACAGCATCCGATGCCTTGACCTGGTTGCTGTCGTTGTCAGTGGCTGTGGTAGTGGCAGCAGTGCTGGGATGATGATGATGATGTGGGAGGTGAAGGTGGCATGTGCTGACAGCACTCGATCACAACAGGTGCGATGATGGTGGCTGCTGTTGTGGTTGATGTCGGGATGTGGCGTCCACGTGAACTGGCAAGCGTGCGTGCGTGTGAGGCTCCAGCAGTTGCTGTGCGATGGGTTGGATCGCGTGTGCACCCGTGCAACCAAAGGGACGAGTCGTCCAGGAACGCGTCGGCCTCGCACGGCGATGCGGTGAAGGCCATGACGGTAATGTCGCCAGAGACGGATCGGTTGAAGAGGCGCGCCGTAAAATCCTCGTTGATGGAAGCGACGGTGGCAATAATGGTGCCCTGGCGCAGGTCGATGCGCAGAATGAATCTGCGACGCATCCTGCGTCGTATTGATGGACTGCACCAGCGCGGCCTCAAACATCTCGCGGCGCGGCTGAGTGCCGGCAAGGGCGTTGAACTTGGCGTCACAGATGAGCGAGACGAAGTACGCGGGCACGCACGCACGGTGGGAGCACCTCAAATTGCGTCGCTCATGGTGGCGCAGAGGCGGTCTGTCGTGGCCGTGGGCGCCGACACCTCGCACTCCGTGTGCTGGCACGAGCGCACGCGCTGGCACTCGCGGTCGTTGACCAGCGACGGCGCAACGAGCTCGTACTCGCTGGACAGGAACTGCGTTCACGGCGAGCAGATGCGGTTCTGCGTGGGCATGAGCGGGCGCGAGATGAACATGGTGCTGTTGGGGCACGTGCGGCCCATCTGGCACTCGCGGTCCGTGCTGATGGTGGGCGCGGCTGTCTCAAACGAGCCAGGCTCGCAGGGCGACACGCGCATGCAGAAGTCCGTGGTGCTGTCGCGGTAGAACAGGCCCTCGATGCAGCGGCGGCACTGGCGGTCGGTGAAGATGGTGGGGCGCACCACCTCCTCGTAGCCGAGGTCGCACTCCGTCACAGGCGTGCAATTGCGCTGGCCAGAGAGGGCGGCAAAGTCCACGCCAACATGGCACGGCGTGCACGGCGTGTGCTGGCGTTGCGGTCCAGGTCGACGGTGCCGGCCGGGCACAGGAACTGCTTGCAGGAGCCGATGGATCCCGCAGGCACATGGTGGCCGTAAGAGGCACGGCTGGCAGGCGGTGATCGGGTTGCGGTCGTCGTCGGTGGTGCCGATGGGGCACGGCTCGCACTTGGCGTCGGAGGTGGAGGTGGGCGCGGATGCGCTGCTCGCCAGGGTCGCACTTGGTGATGAGGTGGCACAGGCGGTCCGCTCGTACTCCGTCGACGGGTTGCACTGGGTTAGGTCGCGGCAGATGCGGTCCGTGGTCGGCGTGGCGGTGGGGAAGAGCTCAAACTGGAGAACTGGTCCTGGTCGCACACGTCGAGCGTCATGCATGCCGTGTTGCTGGTGGCGGTGCATGGCGCGCTGCGGTACTGCTCATCGGAGCATGTGCTGCACTGCTGGCAAGACGTCGTTCTCTGAGTCGCAGGCGCGCAGGATGTATGTGGTTGGCAAGCACGCGGAGCAGCCGGCGCACTGCACGTCCTCCAGCGCAGAGCAGGCGCGAATCTCGAAGCGGCCACTGGGGCACTCAGAGCACTCGAGCGTGCACTCGCGCTCAGAGTCGAGCGTGAGCGCCTGGCTTCTGGAAGGTGCCAAACTCGCACTCGCTCACGGCCGTGCGTGGAAATGTACACCCAGGCAGTGCAACGCGTCACGCCCACGCACGTGTCCTGGACGTACTTGCGGCAGAGGCGGTCGTGCTGGCGTGTGGGTTTGCAAAGCGAATCTCTCCTCATCCGGGCCGCCCTGCGTGACGGGGCGGCACGACTCGGCCTGGCCGTTGGACGGGCTTGAAGGTGGCGCCGAGCTCGCACTGGCTGCACACGCGGTCGTTGGTGGGGGTGGGCTCGGCCGTCTCCTCCTCGCCGGCGTCGCACGTGGTGATGATGGGGAGACAGGGCACGCCCTGGCCAGAGACAGCCTTGTGCGTACCCTCTGGGCACTCGTCGCAGACGCGGTCGCTGATGAGGAGTGTCATGGCCCGCACCTGCTCAAACCCGGGCGCGCACTCTGTGACGTCCATGCACGAGGGTGGCGGGGTCGCTGTCGTGGTCGTGAGTGCCCGCGCGGCAGGTGAAGCTGGAACAGGAGCCGTGGCAGCCCGCCTCCGTGTAGTGGCCACCGGGGGCACATCTGACAACTCATGGAGCCGTCGCTGTCCGAATCGATGGTGCCGGCCGAGCAGTCGCGGCGCACGCGGTCCGAGGAGCAGCAGGTTGGCGCGGCGACCTCCTCCTGGCCGCGCTCGCACTCCTCAGTAGGCTCGCACCTGCTGCCGCCAATGGATGGGGAGAACTCCGTCACGCTGTCGCACGGCCGACAGTCGGCCGACTCGGCGTCGTAGACAAGGATGAAGCTAGCGCTGCACTCACACGTGTCTGTGCAGCCTGTGCAGGAGCGGCGTGCCTCGTCGGCATCCATCTGGCGAATGGTGTTGTGGATGCCATCCTCGCCTTGGCCGGCGCAGCACACGTCAAGCACAACGTCGAGCTGCTCGTCCATGGGCCCGGCGCACACCATCTCCTCAAACAGCTGCGTGATGAGCTTGTTGCAGGTGAGCGTGTCGCAGGAGCACAGGCGGTCCGTGGTGAGCGTGGGCGGGATGGTCTCGATGAAGGGCTCCTCGCACACGCTGGTGGGGAAGCACGAGGCGCGCTCCGGCAGCGGCTGGTACTCCATGCCAAAGGGTGCAGCTCACGCATGTGGTGGTTGCGCACGGCGTTGCCAGAGACGGACTCCTTCTGACCCGGCTTGCGCTCGGTCCAGGAACAGCAGACGGCGTCAGAGGACGCGGAGCGTGGGGTGGAGGCCCAGGTGCCCATGCCGCACGTGGTGCATGGCACGCAGCGGTGGTCCTTGGCGTAGTAGTCGAGAGGGCAATGGGCAATGCACGACTGGTGAGGTTGCCGTCGCACAGGTTGATGCAATGGGTGGCGTTTGGTGGAATGGCATTCAGCACACCCGTTGGCCGAGCTCATACTCGCCGTCGGGACACTCGCTGATGCAGTGGCCGATACTGGAGGTGAGGCTGAGGTTCGCACTCCGATAACTGGAGGGGGAGGGTGCGGGGGTGGAGGGGAAGATGGCGTGAGAGGCAATGACAACACTGTTGTGCGTATTGAGGAACCGCGCACCGCTTCATCTTCTCAAGGATACAGGACTCAAAAGAGGCTCTGAGGACAAGCACACACACACAGACACACACAGACACACACAGACACACACAGACACACACAAAGCCAGCACAAGTAAACATACCATTGGCCCATGATGAAGCTATCTTTGAGGACCCACCGCACGGTGTTGTGCACCGTGTCGATTGTCGTGCGGTTCTGCTGCACAGCCTGCTCCAAGTAGCTGTTTGTAGTGAAGCATGTCTCCCTGAGCTCCATATCCACGCCACCGTTCAGCGTCTTCGCGGCTGCGTCGACGGAAGTCACGGGCGTGCTTGTTGGTGTCGACCATGTTTGCAAATTGCACCGCAGTCTGTTCCAATCGTCACCATGTCACGCTTGCACTGTCCGCGCACGACGTCGTTGAGCAGCATGTTGTTCGCACACGATGACACACATTTGATGCTGGTGTTCGAGCACATGGCAGTGAGTGCCCGTGCTTGTACTGCACATGAGACACGTGGCAGAGGGGAGCGGGATGATGAGGAAGTGGGAGGTGATGGGGATGGCGCAGGCATGGTGGCGTGGACGAACTGACAAGAAATGCTGATGGGAGGTGCACGAGCTGACACACACACACACACACACACACACACACACACACACACACACACACACACACACACAAACACACACACACACACACACACACACACACACACACACACACACACACACACACACACACACACACACACACACACGCGCGCGCGCGCGCGCGCGCGCGCGCACAGACCTCGGTGTCCCAGAGATCAAAGGTGGAGATGTTCCCGTTGAATGCCATGCGGCTTGTCTCGACCAAGTGCGCGTCAACGTGCCTGAGACCTAAACGCGATGGAGCGGTGACAACAGTGTAAATGACACGACCGCCATCAAGTGCAAAAGAGGAGGCGTTGCTGACACGGTTGTGGGCGTTTGCATACACATGTGTGTGTGAGGTTGGATGCGTGTGTGTACCTGCTGTCATTTTCTTGTACTTCCTGTCTGGGCCGTCCTAGCAGCCCGTCACGTAAGCAGCAGCGTACTCGCCACTCAAGAAGGGGCCTCAGAGGTTGAGAGGGGTGCAGTGAAGATGAGTGTGTGGGCCTGCAAAGTGTGTGAGTGAGTGTGAAGGGGGTTGGGGGCGTGGGTACAACTGTGGTGGAATGATCGCATGTGTGTGATGTGTGCACCAGCATCAGCAACATGTGATGAAGGGCACACCTGCGAGTCCGATCATCTGCAAGACGCCGCCGCCCCTGTGCCAGTTGAGATTGTTGAAGGCGCGCATCTCCGTGGATATGACCTGAAACCAAAGGACCGGTGGGGGTGGGACGAGGACGGAGGGAATGAACGACAGGAGCTTTGATCAAGAAGAAGCCGACATAGCAGACGTAGGCACACACACACACACACACACACACACACACACACACACACACTCACCCTCGGTTGACGGCTGCGCCAAGACCTGTGGGGCCAATGAAGGTGGTGGCACACTTGTCCTGGCTGATGATGCACGCAGAGGCAACGGCCGTGTTCATCTCCACCAGATGCAGATACGGCGGGATGTCAAGCCTGCGACCCATGCACACACACACACACACACACACACACACACACACACACACACACACACGCACAGATGCAAGTATGAAGAGGGAGATGGTATTGTTGTGTGAGTGGTGGTGGTGGCGGCGGTTGATGCGGCTGTGGCACGAAGAAGCGGGGAGGGAACACAAGCAGGCAGAGTCACGAGTCACTGCGTGGGCGCCGAATGTCCTTTCCCACCTCTTGACACCATAGTCAAGGAAGGCGCATGGGCTGGTGACGGGATTAGGGCCAATGGGGCCGGCCTTCTCATGAAGGCTGAGGCGTCCAATCAGGTCGTCGAGGCGGGCACAGATGGACAGACTCGAGTTACAGAACGGTAACTCCTTCGTCGCTGCAGGCAGGCATGCATGGCCTGACGAGGCAAGGTGCAACAGCAGTCACGTATGAGCTGAGAGAGAGAGAGAGAGTGTGTGTGTGTGCGATTGTGTGTGTGTGTGTGTATGTTGGGATCACCTGTGGGAACGGGTTTGCCGGAACAGTTTGCTTGGATGATGTTCATGCGATTGGCTGCTCCGCACATCTCGGTGGAAGTCCCCGTGCATGGTTCATTGCAGTCGGAGGAAGGCTGGACAAAAGTGTGTGTGTGTGTTGGGTGGGGGGGGGGAGTGTGAATGCTGACACAAATGTGTGCACCACACACAGACACACACACACAGACACACACACACACAGACACACACACACACACCGCCGAGACTGCGCGGTGGAATTCAGCTTAGGTGTTTGCAGAAGAAGCACAGGTAGCCAAACTCAACAGCGCTTGAGGGGAAACGTTCTTGAAGGTGTAGCAGAGCGTGGCACACGCCTCACGCGTCATGGACGTCTGCGCCATGTTGCCAGCAAACGCAAAGGTCCGATTGTCAGCGCGGTGTGTGCGAGTGTGCGTGTGTGTGGGGGGAAGGGGAAGAGGTGTTGGTAGGTGAGCGCAGCGATGGGACGAGGGGATGCGCACGCAAGTCATTTCACACACACACACACACACCTTGATCTTGGAGGTTGGTGCATTGGACTTGAGCTTGAGACGACGCTCGCCACGGCGGCTGAACAGCAGCACACACAGCACAGTGCCACGAAACACCAGGAGCGCTGTGACTGCCGTTGCGCGGCATCTTCCTTCTTGTCTTCTTCCCCACCAAACAAAAAAAAAACCGAATTGTGCCGAGTCAGCACTTTTCTACTTCGTTGTTGAAAGGGTTCACTGCTGTGTGATGGAAGGCAGACGCACACGCACAGACACGCACAAGCACGCACAGGCACAGACACGCACAGGCATGCACAGGCAGGGGCGAACGGCTTGACAAGGAGCAGTGCTCTGCGTGGAGGAACGAAAGGGAAGGCGGTATCAACTGCTGTGTTGCTTGCAACTGGGACAAAAGCACGACAAATGCACGGCAAGCCAGCCAGCCAGCAGGCAGTGAATAATCACAGAGAGGCAGGTCTCCGTCTTGGTCCGTTTGCATACATGTGTGTTACAAGCCACAAAACACTGTCAGTCAGCCCACCGTCTGGCAACAGCATCCAAGATGCACTCGGCAAGGGCACTGGCAATAGCGATTAGGGTTGGTGGCGTCGTCGCCAGCAACAGCCTCATCTACGGCATCCCTCCTTTTGATGCAACTCCCACCACCTCTGTGCTCATCATCAGCCCATCAACAACAGCAACAGCAATGACAGCGGTGACAGCAACAGTGACAGCAGCAGTGGATGACACGACCACCATCAATAGTCTGCAAGCCGGTTGAGCCAAGTGGGCACTGCAGGCGGCGTGCTGGCTGGCTCACAACACCCTCCTCGACGGGTGTGACCACTGATCGCAGCACGAACACAGCAGACACCACCACGCTTGATGAGCTGCTACACGGCGGATGCAAGTGGATCAGCGGCGTGGCTGTGGACAAGGACCTTTTCCTGCGACGGCATTCCATGCAACTCGCCATCCATCCTCATCGTCGATGCAGCCGCAAGTGCGGTGGGCGCAGCCGTGCTGTCTGTTCCAGAAGTGGTGTGATGGTGTGTGTTGGCTGGCAACGACTTGCACATGACATGCCCTGGCTCGTCCATCACCTCCTCCTCGTCAATCCACGATGCTGACACAGGTAGGCGTGTGTGTGTGTGTGTGTGTGTTTTGGAACGGAAATGCATCTTGGGTTGGTACGCACCATGTGCGACTGCTGATGCTGACACGCTTCACCAATCCTGTCTGTTCCATCTCATCACACAACCTCAGTGAATTCCACCACCGTGACGGCCTCGATGTGTCCATGCCACTCTTCTCCATGGTGACATTCATTCACACCGGAGCAGTGACGCGTTTCGCCCACACACACACAGGAAATACCTCGTCATCTACTGGTCTGTGCATGCACGTGTGTGCTGTGTGTGTTGTGACGTGGTACGATGTTCACTGCTGCTGCTGCTGGGTTTAGAGGGGCTGGTGTCGCTCATTGCACCACCGCTCGCTCTTGTTGTGCCGTGACTGCAATCTCACTCCAACCCTGTTGTGGTGCGGCTGCTTGACGTGTGCCTTCTTTCCCTGTTGTGCAGACGCACTATCAAGTCTGCTCATTCTGATGCCATGCGCAACCACCTCCCCAAGCTGCACAACGACAGGTGAGGTGTGCTTCGCGTGCGAGTGTTGTGTGTTACTTCGTTCCGTGTCCGTGTGCGTGTGTTGTGTGTTGCCTCGGAGTCAACTTGTTTTGGTGCTGTGTGTGTATCTGTCTGGAACCACCTCACACACACACACACACATCGCCTGTGTTTGCTTGTGTATGCGCAGGGACATTGTGTTGGTGTGCGCGTGCCGGTGGTTTGGCGAATAGCGCATGGGCCGTGAGGGGAAAGGTTGGGTATGACCTCTCGTGTAAGCAGGCAGAGGAAGAGCTCAACAAGTACACATACACAGAGCTGGCGCTGGAGACCAAGTTTGGGCTCATCGTTGAAGGATTGGCTACCACTCCTTCAGGTGTGTGTGTGTGTGCATGTGTGTGTGTGTGTGTGTGTGTGTGTGTGCGTGTGTGTGTGTGTGTGTGTGTGCGTGTGTTGCAGACGATTTCGGTCCTGTTTGTGCTCATCATCCGCCTTCCATCTCCTGTCATCCCCCTTCATGCCTCATAGATCATGGTTGCGGGTGCCATCCCCGTCATTGTCGTCGATCACTACGCGCTGGTGCGTATGGATGGATTATATTGTGTGTGTGTGTGTGTTTCTTGTGTGTCACATCACTGTGTGGATGTACCCCTCCCGTCGCTCATGGCGCAGTGATGTGATGTTCTGGCGTTTGCTTTTTGCATTCTTGCAGCCCTACCAGGGCCTGCTGGACTGGGAGACGTTCAGCATCCGCATTCCCCGAACACAGGCTCCTCGAGGTGTGGTGATAGATCGGTGACATGGGGATGTCAAGCGATGCGTGAGCGGATGATGTTGCTTTAATGGGGTATGTGCTTCGTGATGGCTTGCATGTCACGTCGCTCACACACACACACACACACACACACACATATATACACACACACACACACACACACACACACACACACACACACACACACACACACACACACACACACAACTGTGTTCAGCTTCCGAGGATCCTGCGGTCGATCCCTGTTGAGGTGGTGGAGATGATGCAGAGACGCGTTGTGTTTGTGTTTGAGGAGTTCTTCAAGTCCCTCTCCACCCAAGTGCACACAGGTGAGGGAGTACGTTGTTGGCACAAGGAGTTGTGGAGTGAGTATGGGGAGTATGGTGTGGTGTGTGCGTTCTCGCTTGTTCTCGTGTCCATTCAACCACTCTCACCATCTGCCAACTCGTGTGTCTTGTCTGTGTTGTTTGCTGCTATCAGCACTTGGAGTCTGCCAGGATCAACCTGTTCAGTGGCGACAACGCGTCGCAGATGTACGTGTGTGTGTGTGTGTGTGTGTGTGTGTGTGTGTGTGTGTGTGTGTGTGTGTGTGTGTGTGTGTGTGTGTGTGTGTGTGTGTGTGTGTGCAGGGGATCGTGCGCAGGGGTGCGAATCAGCGCGGTCACCTCACATAACATCTTGCTGCCACCACCAACACCTTCATGCGCACAAACACGCAAATGCTCGCAGGGGGAAGATGCAAGTGGAAGGGTTGGCGTACGGCACGCCCAATGACACGCCACACGATGTGATGCAGGAGTCTGTATGGTGCAACACCCCTCGCCCACCGACGAAAGACGGCCAAGGACAATGCCCCCATGTGATGTGTTTGCGTGTGATGATGAGGATGAGGAGGATGAGGAGAGGACGAAGATGTCTTAACAGCGTAACCAAGATCAGCTCTGTCACTAGTTCATTAGTTCAGCCCACCTGTGTGTGATTCCTCTGCGTCAGTACATGGAAGTAAACGCGTTGAGAAGACACGATGTCAGGCAAGCAGTGTGTGTGTGTGTGTGTGTGTGTGTGTGTGTGTGTGTGTGTGTGTGTGTGTGAAGCAAAGCAACGCTACAGTCAAGCAACAAGAGAGAGGGAGATGAGCCAACACACGCCACCACCTCGTCACCCCCAAGTTGAAGCAACTCAGTCAGCAAGCAAAGAAGAAGAAGAAGAAGTAAACCAAATCAAGCCAAGCCAAGAGAGAGGAGGAGAGACAGCAACCACCACAGCAGCAGCACCACAGCAGCTACAGCAGCAACCCCATATGGAAGAGAGAAAAAAAAAGGAAAAGAGCAACATCACCCGTGATTCCCGCCTGGTCACCCACGGCAGTACTGAACGGGCCCAAACGGGCTTAGCTTCCGCGATCGGACGAGAGCGGGCGTGATCCCGTTGGTATGAACGTTGCCGACAGTGGAGGAAGACAGGCAATTTATCAAGGCAGAGCCAGCAAGCAAGCAAGAAGAGGAAGAGGAGGAAAATCGCACACACACCAAAAAAACCAGCAGCAGCAAGCAGAAACGAGCGAACAACAACCAACCAATCCACTCGCCGTTGCTTCATTCTTCTTCTTCTGCGCAGCAGCTGGTGTGTGATGGTGATGGTGGTGGGAATGGTGATGGTGACCATGGTCGTCGTCATCGCTGACAGGCAGGTGAGAGATGCGGTGAGTTGAGATGAAGATGAGGTGAGGTGAGGTGAGGTGGGGATGTGTCATTGATTCGTGCACACGCACACGCACACATTGGTGGTTGTGCGTGCCACGTTCCTTCCTTCCTTCCTTCCTTCTCTTCCTTCCCTTCGTCGTCCTTCTCGCTGACGCACACACACACACATGCACATGTGCAGGGAGGGTGTGCGCACCGTCTCTCTCCCCCTTCTCTCCCCTTCTCCCATCCTTCCATCCTTCCATCGTTGTCCATTTCCTTCTCCTGTGATGAACCACGCACAACCAACCAACCAACCAACCAATGACCACATGAATGACCCATCCATCGACAGGTGAGGGTGAGATTGAGTGCACTCACTTCTTCCCACTCACTCCGTGCTCCTCCTCTTCCCCTTCTTCCCCTTGCACACTGCGCACAGCAACAACAGCCACCATTAACAACACAAACAACAACACAGCGCACGCTGTCATCGTGCACACACAGCCACACACAGGTGGACCACCATCCATCCGTGCATGGGTG